ATTGTTAATATCTAAGCATATATGAAGAATTTACTTTGTTTTCAGCCCTAATTAAGACCTTTGAACACACCTCGTTCAGTGGATATATGAAAACAAAATTTGGTGGTTAGGAATTCTCCATCTAAATATAAAGATTTCTCTAACATTCACACGTGTCATATAATACTTGTATTTTGATTTTCGTCAAGTTTCTATCCAAACCTTTTGCTATATAATACTTATTTTATTTGATAGATATATACATTAGAAATAAGAGAGTGCTTAATAGCCAAAAATATAAAAATAACATAGTTTGTTTTTTAAAGTAGATAGATTGTCTAACAATTGTTTTCTCTCCTTCCATCGTTATATTTTGATTAATTGATATAAATATTATATTTTAAAAAAAATCAAAAATATTAACTTATTATTAAGTTTAAATGAGTAGAAGGTGGCTACTTCGGTGCATTCACTTTTTTGGGTGCGTTCAATGCACCCAACTCTAAAAGTGACTATAATACATCAAATTTGGCATTTTAATTGGTAGCATTAGTCTAATGTGATGATATAACATAAAATCACAACTAATAAATCCATTACGCTAACCCCTTAGCCTTCAATTTTGAATTCCAAACCAACATCTCAAATTGTAAACCTAAACCCTAACCCAAAATCCCTAAATCCTAATTCCTTCAAATTGAAGTAGATCTTGAATGAGTTTTTTGAAAATTCATGTGTTTTTTGTTCTTAATATCATAAGCGATGGTTGATATCATTTTGACATGAATCGCATGCCGAAATGACGATTATGAGGCGAGTGCATTGAATGCACCCAAAAAGTGGGTGCATCAAATACGCCACCATGAGTAGAAAAATGACTTCATAAAGTTTAATATGTTGTTTTGGTTTAAACAAACGCGATATATATCACTCTACAAACATTAGTCTATTGCTGCAAACATAGATATAATAATAAAATAAAAGAATCATTGGGTTAAAGAAAAGAGAGAGATAACTCCATAAATAGTTCATTAACTAACTTTTTTATTTGTAAACAAATTGTCCACCTTGGTAACTTGTGAATTCTCCACATGATTATGTGGCAAGAAGTTGTTTTTGAACTATCATAAGATAAGATAACAAGAAATTATAATGGGAGGGTTAAGTAGGGGATATTCACATATGTTATTACTTATAAGATTTTATATAATTTATAAGTTTATGAACAGTACAATTAATTTTTCATTTATTGTAGCTAAACCACGCTAAAGCGATAGGATCGTTAACTCTTAAACCACATATTCAACCAAGCCAACTGGCTAAATTGGATTGACAACATTGTTCATAAGTGAGGAAAATAATTTCAACCCATAATTAAATTATTTTACTATTAAGTATTAACATATCCAATAAAATAATATATCTATCACACTTTCCACCATACATTTTCTCCTCCCATTTTCCCATCACTTTCCTCCATAAAATAATATTTTCCTTCACTTCCAATATTTCTTCCTCTGCATTTCCCTCCCCTCCAAATTTTCTTTCCCCTCCATTTTCCTCCCTTCCTTCGAGAAGAGAGTGTAAAGAATTTGAGAGCAAGAACCAAGATTGTCAAACCGGTTTATATCATTGTGATGGTTTAACAAGTGGAAAAGTTGGTACAATCAATTTGTATCAGTTCATGCCATTTTAATAATATGTGGAAGTATGAAAATCATTAACATCAAACAAATTTCATTATATATAGAGGATATTTAAAGACAATTTGCTTACAATCCATATTCTTATTTAAATAAAATACGATATTCCAAATAAAATAACAAATACTCTTATTTAAATTTAATATTGACGTCAATTCCTAAATGTTTATACTTGAATCCAACAAAATACATCCTCTTTTAACTTTTATATCTATAAATAAATAATAAATGCATCTTTTTATTAATTAAATTCACTAAAATTATGTCATTTTGTTTAGAGTTTATAAATCGATCATGTCATTCATATCGATGGTGTTCATGTCGGTTTCATGACCTGCACTGATTGAACCATGTTCAACCGGCCAGAATGCCACTAGTTTGACAACCATGGCAAGAACTCAGACTATGCACGTAATCTCAAGAAAGTCTTATACGCTCTATTCACGAAACAGGGGAAAATTGGGGAGGGCAAGGAAAATTTGGAGGGAGTGAAAATTTGAAGGTAGTGAAATAATAAGGGGAAAATGGTATTCAATTTTGAAGGGAAAAAGAGATCAAATAAGATGCAAAAGTTGGTTTCGCCCCTGGGGGCAACTGGCACAATAACTTTTCTCTCCAAATAATCACTCACATGTACTGTAGAAAAACTTATGAATAAGGAAAAAGTTCAGAATTCCTCAAAAAATTTCCCCATCCTTTATTTATCCTCCTTTATGAACATAGGGATAGCGTGCAAAGCATGCGCCTTATGCATCGTTCGGGAAGATTGGAGAATTTCTACTCCAATTTAGATACTCTGCAACTCTGTCAAATTCAAGTTTTTATTATCAAGGATCAAGAGGGAAAATTAGCAATTATGTTTTTTATGACTTGATCGTGATTAAGGATTATGAAGAAGAGATCAACCGAACTCAAAGGAATAAGTCCATAAGGTTCAAATGAAGGAACTTGGAGAGCTAAAAACACTTTCTTGAACTTGAAGTCGAGAAAAGAGAAAATGGTTTATTTCTCTGTCAACATAGATATGCCATAGTTTTATTGTAAAAACTTGGAATACAAGAGTGTAAGCCTATGACAACACAAATGGAGGCTAACGTCAAGCTCAACTCACCGGAGGTCAAAGTTGGAAGGACATGACAATGTACAAGCAACTTGTGGATAGTTTAATCGATCAACTTGAACTTATCCAGACATTTTTGTGTAGTTAGAGTTTATAGTTGTTTCATGCATAATCCAAAAAAGGTGTGGCTGGAGATCATCAAAAGAGTTTTCAGATACATAAAGGGAACTATTATCACAGTTGTTTTACGATAAGGGAGCATACTACAAGCTAGAAGGATATTCTGATGTTGACTATGCAGGAGACCTAGACACACTAAAAAAAATAAGGTCTATGGAAATGGTTTATTTAACCTATACCAAGAGTTGTAACCCTTGCTAGAAGCCGTAGCAAGGGTTTACTCAACCCTTGTTACAAACCTTGGCAATGTTGCCTTTACTACACGTAGCAAGGGTTTTTAACGACCCTTGGTGGAAGTCCCTTGCAGGGGTTTGTAGCAGGGGTTTCAACCTCTACTAAAATTTAGCAAGGGTAGAACCCTTACTACAAGTCAATAAAATTAAAACATATTAGCTTCATTATTTCGTCACTAAAGAACCGTTGCTAAAATGTAGTAGTCATTTACCAATGGTTAAAACCCTTGCTACACGTTAAACAAAATTTAAAAAAATTATTGGTTTCATTGCTTGGACAATCGTCCCTAACGATAACATAACATCCTAATTGTCCAGTATCAACAAAATATATTAAGGAAACCCCACAAATACACCAATCTTATGCACATCCAAATTACAACAAAAGTGCATCGATCCGCCAAACCAAGATTTGTTCTTCATGCATCAATCTACTATTTTTCCTGAATGGAAACAATCTCTTTCACTCTGTTCCTTGTCAGCCAGTTCCGCTGGTTGAGCTCAGTTGTGAAGGCCTCTGCTGACGTCGAAAAAAATCCATACAGGGGAAGGTGACTGCAGATTCTTGAAGGATTTAACTAGAGGACGAGTGGTGTAGCTGTTGAGATGAAAAGCTTCCTGTCTATTTGGATGTTGTGGCCTAAAATTCATCCCTGCTCCCCTGAATTACTAATGTACATTAACATTACCCAACCAAATCATGCGATGCAAAAAAAAATTTGATCATTTAGAAACTCTTTCGAAGAAGATCATTTACCGAACATTCTGATCCCTCATCATATGTTCCCTCGTTTACACAACCAGGCAACATTAAAAGCCCGAGGAAAAGAGAACATCTGCTACCCCGTCATCCAAATGAACCACATCGACTTCTTTGTCAAATGGTAATTTGCAATTAAAGGTAAAATGAGTTAAGACATCACACATGGTGGGCAACACATGAGTGATTGATCAACCACTGATCAATTATATGCAACTTGAGTATTGAACAGCAATGGAGAAGATGTTTTTGGTGGATTGTATATGAATGTGGGAGTTAAGCTCTCATATCAAACTCTGTCCATTAGTGATATAAATAGCATGGGGTGATGTGTTTGCAATAATCAGAGGAGTTTCATTATTGATTCTTCCACTTGTATCTAATTTTTATTCTTTATGCATATATAACCTGCATGGGCAAAAGGAAAGGTGTCAGAGAGAGTAGCATAAACTAAAAGAAAGAAAAGCACAAGGTGTGCGTGTATGTCTCTGTGAGTTAAAGCATAAGCCAATTAGTATAAGGCTATGTTTGTTTGAGTTTTTCTTAAATTGAGTGATTAAACACCATATGTTTCCTTTTTGTTGATCCTAAATCATATCACATTTCTGTTAATCCCCAACAAATTTGGTATCAGAGCTAATACCCTTTTATCCTCTAAAAAAATCCCTACTTTCTAGCCTACACAAATTTTCTCCAAAAGCCATGGCAACAAATTCATCACACACCATATTTGCTACCTCATCAAATCAAAATACCATTTTCAATGGAGAATTGTACGAGTACTGGAGTGCCCAAATGGAGCCTATTTTCATCTCTCAAGATCTGTGGGATATCGTCCAATAAGGCTACGAAGATCCACAAGACGAGGATGAAGATTCCAAGAAAAGAGCAGGCAAACAGACAAAGGAGTACAAGGAGAATGCCAAGGAAAATGCCAGCGCCTTGAGAATCATTCAGCAAGCAGTGAGCAAATCAATTTACCCCAGAATCTATGGCATCAAAAAGGCCAAAGAAGCTTGGGATGTCTTGCGTGAACAATTTCAAGGTTCTGAAAAGGCGATCTCCATCAGGCACCATAGTTTATCGCGACAGTTCGACAACTTGATGATGAAGGAAACCGACAACATCAAAGACTTCCATTAGCGTGTGGCGGAGACAGTCAACCAGATCAAAGCTACTGGTGACGTCATGGAAGAAAGGAAGGTCGTGGAGAGAATTCTCTGAAGCTTATCATCGAAGTTCGAACACATTTTTGCCGTGATAGAAGAAACCAAAGATTTGGCAAATCTACCAATGAGCGAGTTGATGGGCTCACTTGTAGCACACGAGCAAAGAATGAGTCGCTTCACCAAACCGCCATTGGAGCAAGCCTTCTCATCAAAAGTCAGCATGACGGAAAGTAAATATTCCAAATCGGAGCAAGGCCAGAGAGGGGGGAACTCACAAGGAAGAGGAAGAGGAAGATCCAATTACAGAGGAAACAACCGACACAATTATCAACAACAAAAAGCAGGCTACACTGGCTCGAGTTGCATAATTTGCAAAAAGGCGGGTCATGCAACAAAAGACTGCAGATTCAAGTGTACCAAGTGCAAAATTCAAAACCACTCCAAGAGAGATTGCTGGTTCCAGAACAAGCAAGAAGAAGGCGAGTCAAGCGGCACCAAAAATGAAGAAAGCAATATGGTGGCCTTATCATGCTTGAATGGTGAGCAAAAGTCACAGCTTCCCTGGATGGTGGATAGTGGTTGCAGTAACAACATGACTGGAGATCTGGAGTCCTTCACCGATATCGATGACCAATACTGCTCTCAAGTCAAATTGGGAGACGGAAAGAAGCTAAAAGTGGAAGGAAAAGGCACAGTTGTTGTATGCACAGAAGAAGGCAACAAAACTCTCATTCGAGATGTTTTGTATGTTCCGGAGCTAACTCTCAATCTACTTAGCATGGGACAACTGATGCTGAAAAATTACAAGCTATTGTTTGATAATGGCGTGTGCGATATTATCAACAAAGCTGACAATTTCATGGTGGTCAAAGTCCTGATGACTTCCAACAGAATTTTCTCTCTTGCTATGTCACAAAATGGTGAAGTAGCATTCAAGAGTGAAAATCGCGATCAGTCCTTCCAATGGCATCTCGGATACGGTCATCCCAACTTCAAAGGCCTCAAATTGTTGAAGCAGAATAATGACTAAAGCTCTTAACGCGGGAGATGAGGCATCAAGGTCTAACTTAGCTTTGTTATCCCTTCTATGCCTCTGTTTCCTCTTTGCCTTCTCTCGTTCCCTTTCAAATCCTTACTTAGTCTTTGACGGCAAAGCCACCTTGTCATTTTCTCACAACCAACAACATTACCACAAAGCAGAGGTGACAGCAGAAAGCGGCCGGTGGTGTCGTTGGCAAGCAGCAGCAAGTTCAATTTCACCCCATTCCTCAAAAGGCATCACCACCGCTACTGGCAACACCACCATTATGACTTTCAAGAGACAGATTCAGATGCATAAGGAGCTCGAATCTAACACTACAATTCCTAAAATTGTATACTACATGCAGCCACTGGCACTACAATCTCTAAGAAAGTCGAATTTATAATCTAACAGAGAAACTCGACTCTATAACCTAATAGAGTTCGCTCGCGAGGGAGAGAGAGAGAGAGAGCGAGGGAAGGAGAGAGCAAGGGAATCAGAGAATCACCTCTCAACCAGAGCGACATGGAGGGAGGCCGAATTGACTTTCAGCTGGAGCGAGTGCCAAAGGGAGACCGAATCGACTTTCAGCCGGACGAAAAAGTTAAACTACTCACAAGGTAAGTTGTGAGTATATACTTACAGAGACAGAGAAAAGGGTAAAATAAAAGGAGAATTTATGACCCATTAAATTCCCAACCACCTTTAACTCTCTAAACCTCTTTCTTTCTCTCATTTCTTTTTTTGTAATGGATATTGGTTAGTGATAGATTGTTTTTTATGTACTGATATTAGTATTTGATGATAGGATATAATGATGTTCATGCGATGGATATTAGTTTGCGAAGTAATGGATATTGTGTCTTCCATCAAAACTAAAAACACTATAAAATCCTAACGCATAAGACTTGCAACCTTAGTTAGGACTGCCCGCCGAGGGCCCATGGGCCTTCGGCCCATGAAACAATAATATTTGTTTGCAATAAATGGAGAGTTTAGGTGGTTCAAATATATGTAGTTGGTACTAGTCTGCGATGATCAGATATTAATCTGTTCGTCGTGGGTATTTGTCTGCGATGGTCAGATATTAATATGTTCGTCGTGGGTATCTGTCTACGATTGTCAGATATTAGTCTGTGTGAGGTGGGTATTAGTCTCTATGGTGAGGGTATTAATTAGGGGCTGACTAGATATTGGTCTTAGAGGATATTTGTTATGGTGAACGAATATTATTCTGGGTGGTTTGGATATTTGTTTTTGTGTGGATGTGTTATTCTGACGAAGTGATGGAAAGAGAGGAGTAGACTCGCATATGATTTTTTTTTTTTTAATTTGTGCCCCTTTTCTCGATAGCTGGATAGTGAGAATGGGCCAACCTTTTTTTAATTTCTGGGAACCCTCTGTCCCTGTAAGTATATACTCACAACTTACCTTGTGAGTAGTTTAACTAGGTTGCAGCCGGAGTGCGGAGCGGAATCGACTTTCAGCCGAAGAGAGAGCGAGTGAGGAGGGAGATCGGGATCGACTTCATCTTATTCCGTGGTGGTTTTCCCATCCCTTTTGCTCCGATGGAATTTCTCAACGAACAGGGACCGAAAAGAAGAAGATAATTCGAATTATTTGCTTTGAATTTGGGATTATAAATTTTGGTTCGTCTGGGAAAGAACTAGAATCAGCCAAGGGGATTCCCATAATCAATGCTCGGAGAGGAAGGAGTATGCGATTGTGTTCATTTTAAGGCTAGCAAGGGGTTCAAAACCCTTGCAACAAACTGTTGGTACAATAAATTCCAATATACTAGCAGCGGTTCTGAAACCCTTGGTATAGGTCATTTTTCTTGTAGTGACACTCGATGCTCGACAACAAGTATGGAAGGAGATTCAATTTGAATACGAAGAAGTGGATACATTGTAATCTACTAATTGACATTTGTTCCCATAATTGAATTGAATTGCATGGCTCAGGAGCAGTGTCATGGTGTTATAAGATATTTCTAATCATTTATAACTATGAGGCGAGCAATCGTCGTGGAGGTTGGTACCACTCCTCCAACTATCCTGTTGACTTTTGGCACCTTGGAACCTAGCTGGTGCAGTCTGGTGGCCTTGCTGCTGAGCATGCCTCCAAGCCAACGATCCTGAGGACTTTGGTGGCCCCATACTTAGTCTTGTCATTTCGTGGCTACATGGCAAGCTTCCATGCTCGAGTATTACCACCCTGCCATGCTCGCCTTGCTAGCTGAAACGAGCCGACCACTTAATTAAGCTTGGGAGACAAGGCCACTCACCCACCCAAAAACAAAAATCCGCAACCATTCAAGCCCGAATCACATCATTTAGGTCCTATAGTTAGGCGAGTTATTAAATACTTTGTATTGAGTGGAGTTCGATAATTGTATATGTAGAGAATTAAAGGATTTGCATAATTTGATGCCAAAAGGAAAATCAATAGGAAGGGAGGAGGAACATATGATTGCAATTATCAAAGAATAAGTCTTCTTATTTTATTTTTTCTGAGTTACAACCTGAATTTTTTTTTTTTCAAGAAATAATCCAAATCATCCACAGTCCCTTGATATGTACATTAAAACCTCTCATGTCATGACCATAAATGCCAATTACACTGACAAATTTATCATGCGTATTTCTTTTCCAACACATTAATTCCAGTTTAGGGGGTTTTTTAGATTTGGTGAAATCTAACATGTAAAAGTTGGTTTAATGAAGTGATGATGATGAAGGCTATTAGTGACGAAGTTGACTCCCAATTCACCATGATTCTGTGGATACAAGGAAATGAGATAAATAATAAACTTTTCCACAACCACACTATTGTTCTGAAAATACTAAACATCATCCAAAATGTAATTCGTAAATTATGTAATTGTCCATTTTAAATTTCAAATTCAACACACCAACCAAATAGCTCTCGGCCTCTTCCACTCTCCTGAAACCAATGACCCATCGAACCAAATATGCCTCCATTGTATCCATTGGACAAGAAAAAGATGCAAAGCAGACCCCTGCAGTCCTGCAATTTCTCCCTCTCTCAGTCGTGAAGCGTGTCGTGATCAGGTAATGACCCACAACAAATTTTCTCCAAATTGAGGTTCGTGTAATTTTACGTGTTTGGGTGAGAAGCACCATTTTCCATTTGTATGAATAATCAGAATATGGTATATCAGATGAAGAACAATTTACCTAAATCTTACTTCACACTTTAAATGGGACAATGTCCTCATTGAACTGCACAATGAGGTAATGAAAGAGATAGAACTAAGGAGGTAAGGGGAAAAAAATATTTTACCCAAAAAAATATAAAGATTGAACGAGGTTACTGTAATATCGAGAAATCCAAGTCATTCGGCTAGTTCTCTGATGTTTGGTTAGTACGAACAACAAAAAGTGTAAATAGAGAGAGCAAAGTGTGTCATCTCCTCCTCTATGGCAAAACCTAAGTGGTTCGCCCAAAGATGCTCTCATGGAGTCGTCTAACTCGAGAGGAGTAGACACCCCATAATGCTAGGCGACATGCCAAAGGCAAGGCCATAGTGGCATCAAAATGTATTAAGGTGAAATGGTGACACCCTCACTCTCCCAAGAAGAAGAGTGGCTATGAAGGGCTTACGAATCACTTATCATGTATCACCGTGAGGCGTTGGCATTGGGTGATGCCCAATTGATCACCCCACACTTGAGCTCTTTCCATATCCAAAGTGACGAAGGCTCATAGATGTGAAAGTTGACACCAATTTCGATCAAGAGAACCACATATGGTTAAAATGCAACATGGCACAAGTAGAGGGCGCCCCAACCTCAATTGGACACGCTACAAAACATCCATTCCACCAAGTAATCATCCTCTGCTACGTTCTCCCAGCTCAACTCTTATGTAGGGATGGCAATGGATCAGGTTGGGGGAGGATAGTATATATCTGTTACCCTACACAATGTAGTTAGGATTTTACCCATACCCATACCCACATAAGAAACGGGTAGAAAATCAAAACCATGTCTGTATCCATTCGGGTTTCGGGTATCCATGATTATCCATGGGTAATATTTATCTTTATAACTCCAACCAATATGTTAATTTTCATATGTATTCTCACATTACATAAGAGGAAAAGTACGACAATAATGCACTAGAATGAAGAAATTAATTAAAACAACACAATTTCATGAAAATATTATATTTATATACTAAATATAAATATGTTAGAGAAAGATAATGATTATTTCTAGATAAAATGCGTATGCATGTATATAATCGAGCGGGTTAGGGTTGGATAGAGAGAAAACCATGCCCACCCATTACCCGCAATTTTCAGGTTCGGGTTTTACCCGTACCCACTTAAAGTCCTTCGTGTTCGGGTTTTACCCTATCTTATTAAGTCGGATTCGGGTGGATATCCATTGTTACGGATATTTTTGTCATCCCTACTCTTATGCGACGTATACCGATAGGGGAAAGCTCTAAAAATATGACGAGGGAAGCATAAGAGCCAAGCTGTCACAAGATGGACATATGAAGCACAAATGTCTGAAATGCAAGTAATTACATGTACCGCTCATGCAACCCTGAGGTTTCGAACTAATGATATTAGGCGAGGCGAGTAAAATGAAGAACGATACGAGGTGGTCGGTGTGGGTTAAACTCCGACAATGGTGGTGGAGTAAGCAAACAAAGATTCTGCAATGGTCGACATAAGGACGAACCTAGGCACATAACATTACAAAAAAAGACTATCATTATTGACAACATTTTTTCTTCGTTAAAAGTAAAACTCCTTCAAAATGGATTTTAACGACGACATATGGTCTTCTGTCATCGTCATAAAAATTCTCATCTGTCATAAACTATTACTGACAGGCCGTTAGCATTATTCTTAATACGGACGTGTTGTTATCGTCGATACACAAAAGGATAGGAATCAGAATCATGACGTTAAGATAGACGATGAAGCGCTAATATCCGATAATAGTATTTCCGATGAGCAAGATGAATTTAATCCACGAGAGAGAGAGAGAGAGATAGAAGAAAGCCACTAAATCTGAATGACATCATTTTCGGTATAGTATTTCCAACCAGATCTGGAAATTAATTAATAACCCTAAAATCGTGCAATGTATGAATTGGTTTTCATATAAACTAAGAATTGAAAAAGGAATACATAAGGGGAATAAACTTCAGCACCGTTAATTGACAGACTTTTAAGGTTTGGTCAAGCTAAGGGAGTAATTAGGATCCGGAGGGCTGCTCAGATTCAAGCAGAAACCCAAGAAATTGGCTCAGCGCCAAGGCTCATGTATCTCTTGAGTGGCGTCTGTCAGAGGATTCGAGATCCTTAGTCATCTAAGAGCATTTTGAATGGTTCTTGATGGTATTATCGGTGTGTGATAGAAGG